GCCGGATCCAGGTCGGTCAGAGTAGCATCACTCCTACTGAACAAGGCAGCAGCAACATCTCCCATGTCGTTGACGTTGTCGGGGAGTTGCCCTAACTCAATGAGCTCTTCATTGATGGTACTAGGGTAGAGGGTCCCATCATCACCATCATCGCCTGCCATGGCCACCTCACCTCTTCTTCTTCACCTCTCGGCACGGTACCTCAACGGCTTGTGCGGCACTAGCTCGATGCACCAGGCATCGATCGACGACCTGCGAACAGAGAGAGAACATGGTTAGGGTTAGGGTTAGGGTGAAGTGAGGTAGATCTAGGGTTAGGGTTAGGGTTAGGGTTACGGTGAAGACGCACCTGCACAAGCCGGAGCGCAGCGCTGGAGAGATGGAGAAGAAGACGCGCGGAGGCAAGAGCACCTCCCTGACAGATGGCGACAAACGAGATCGACTGGTGGAGGACAACGAGCGGTTAGAGAGAGGGCGGGAGGAAGAAGAGAGTATGAGAGGAGGAAGACGAGAGGAGATATGCAAGATCCAGCGGTGGAGGGGTCACCGGAGACAGGGAAGACGACGAGAAAGGCGACGACAGTGGCAGACTGCGATGAGAGAGGCCGGGGAGAACGAGCCCTGTCCACAACGGGAGGAAGGCAAGATGAGATCTCTAAGATCAGGTGGTGGAGACGTCGCCGGAGACGAGCAAGACGACAGCAGTGGTAGGTGGGGGAGGCGAGGTGAGAAGAGCAAGAGCACCACTGCGGGAGTGGGGGAGGCAGGGGGTGGGGAATGAATTTAGGGTTTGGGGGGTGAGGAGCGCCGTGACGAGGGCTTATATAGCCCCGTGGTACCGGGCCGCGCCCGCGCCTGCCGTTATGGACGGGGCCATGCCGTGCCGCCCGGTGGGCCGAGGTGGTGGCCCAAGCACGGCCTGTGGATCGGGCCGTTCCTAGCACGGGCCTGGTGGAGGCCGGGCTTGGGCCGGGCCAAAAAACCGGGCTTCGTGCCGGGCCTTCGTGTCGTGGGCTGCATGCTCAACTTTAATGGTTCCAGGATACCGAGGAGCACGATTCCTATTAGTAAACTATGGAGCTGCCAACGTTCTCAAAAACATCATTTGACAAAACAGCCACCCAAAAACCACTCGTTTCTTGTAGCCGCCGCCACCATCTCCCTCCCCTACGCCACCGTCTCGGCCCCCTCCTCTCTCGTAACCGGTAGCTCGAACAGTGGGGACCTCACGCCCTCTTTGTAAATTTAGGTTTGTTGATACCTATTCTTCTAGGGTTTGATATCAGACGTCATCGACGAGTTGATGATAACAATAATGAATTGAAATAAGGTCTCTTTGGTCCCTCTAGACCTCGACGACATTGATTTGGCTTCGACAAACTGCTAGTTTTTTAATTTCAATTCAAAAATCCCCACACAATTCTATTATATATTTTTCCTTTCAAAATTAAATTCCCACACAAATCTATAATCTTACTGATTAGGTAAGAAGAACCACCACATCAACTCTAATGGTCTCAAAATTAACATGTTAATAGAAATTTGAAATCGAAGTGTCCCTATACTATTGGCAACTTACAGCCATTGCCATTATGCAAAAGCCGTTAATTCAAAAACTCTTATGCCTATTTCTCTATTAACTATCCATACCGTTATTAAAATAAAAGTTTGACGCCAACTATCTTTGTTGCACCTTGTCCATTTAAGAGTTTATTAAAGTTGACTTAAAATAAGAGTTCATATTGCATTTCAAATGATCTTTTGATGTAAAAATATGAGAGGTAGAATATAGATATAGTTCAATAGGAGGACAAGTTAAAATGGATTAAGTCCATTTTGGGCTCTCAACTCTTGTCTTTTTCTAATTTTAAACCCAACTACAAAACCGTCTAACTTTAGCACCTCAACTACGAAAATCGTTTAATTTTGACCCTAGAGCCATCTCAAAACCACTCAGAATTGCCTTGGGGACAAAAATTGATAGGTTATGTGCGAAAGTTAGACAAAGGCAAGAGTTGAGGGCAAAAAATGTACTTTAGTTTTTTAGATATTTATAAAAAAATATGTATTAAGTTTCCTTATTGATAAATATTTATATGCATTAAAATATTTATCTACACTTTTTTGGATTTTTTTTGGTTCTAAATACAAATCCGAATTTATCTAATAATCTATATGTTTTAAGTTCTCACATTTTGAAATTCTATTTTTATGAATTGTTCGAACAAAGTCGGATGGAGATATAACCAATTCCAAAGTTAGATATACAACTTTGTCAAAAGAAAAGAAAAGAAATGGAAAAAATGATTTTGGGCCAAACCTGCATGTTTCTCGGGTGAACTCCCCGGCCTCACGGATACTGTACTGGGCTGAACCCACCCGTATTCCAAGAAATCGTCGGTGCAGTGCACAATCTAAAAAATGCCTGCAACCTTTGACTGGAGGTCTTGATCCGTGGAACTAGACTTCTGACAGAGACTTGGCACGAAGGCATGCATGAGCATGCAGTCCAAATCATAAATACTAATCTGAATTTAGTTTTGTGTAAAAAACATATAATACTACTCAGTATGGAAAACGATGTCCCTGCTTCCTTTGTGTTCGTTGCCACTTACCGATCTGAACATTCATCATCATCAAGTCCATGTTCAAGCCAAATTGGTCGTTATTAAGCATCGTCTGAAAGTGTGGTTGCTCATTCCATGAGATGGAACTAGTTCTGTGACCTGCAGCTGCAGTACATTCTTCAGTAGTTCAGTTTACTTGCTTTCCAGTCCGAAGTGGTGCTTCTGATTGGAGGGCATGACATGATCGATGTTTTCAGATGAAAATGAAACAGAGGTTCGAAGTTCTTTGGAGTACCATTTGTTATTGACACAACACAGGTCTCCTTCTTTGATATCAGCGAGAACGACAAATTTCTTACTCCTTGAGATCCACTTTAAGACTAGCATGCAATTTGCTACGACGTCATAGAAAAAATGAAGTGGTTAAACATGGGAAGACAGTAGCTTTGTCTGTCGCGATCAGATGATCCGATTCTCTTTGTCTTCTACTCCTCGGTTTCTCTACCTAACATAGCACACCAGAATCCAAACTTTTCAGTGAGTCCTCTGAAAGCATATACCCAAACCAGCTGCCGTGTTCAGAGGTACAAGAATCTAAAAGGATTGCCAGCAGAGACTCGATCCTCTGATTGCACCAAACTTCTTTGGGAGACCAAATTCAGACAGAGGTCTAACCTTGGGTTCAATCCTAACAACTTCGAAGATATCTATTTGAGATCAAATCATATCAGACCGGCCGGACTTTAGCTGGAACCTGGAAGGGGCACCAATGGTTCAACAAAGACGGAAAAAAGAGAAGGTGTTGTATCATTGCAACAACAGTGATCTATCATTAGTTCATTACACATGTGTGGACACAACAGGACCGACCGATGGATCATTCCTTCCTTGATCACCTAGCGTTCCGTTACATATTCGTCTAGGCTGACAGTAACGGTTCAACCGACTGCCGATCATTCTAGCGACCCTTGCTTGTTTTTTTGGTCCCTTTATTTTACTTGTTTGTGTTTTTTTCACTTTTGGTCCACACATGCCACATGGTAATGATGCATCGCATGCATCAGACATATAGCTAGGTTAGCTTTCATACGGCCTAACACACACGGATTACTCGTATAGTTAAGAGTTGTGTAACTACTAGCTTGGTACGTACAGTGACATTGTAGCAACCAGCAAGCGGTTGATTATGACCACGGCAGAAATGTGGCACGCATGCTGCCTAATCTTCTCGGAAAATTCAGCGTGAAGCACCGACGACAGAGAAGGTATCCGCTGCAGGTAGGAATCGCATCTTCTCAGATCAAACTTATAGCTAGGCTATGCTAACTGTGCTAGAATTGTTCAACACATACTGTAGAATTCTTCATCAGAGAAGGCAACCGCTGCAGGAGTACAGATGTTATAATCAGGTTGATCCTGAGCAGTGGGCACACATGGAAACAAGCAGCAATTTGCGTGCCAACGTTAAAACAAAACTGAAAACAGATGGTTTGCAAAAGACAAAGTTGGCTGATTAAAGCGTAGCAGCCCAAAGCTGATGAGGACACGGAAGGATGGCAATGCGTTCAATCAAGCCATGCTGACGTACGCCCGCTTATGCAGGGTTTTATGCGTCGACAATCTTGGTACAAGTCCTTTCTGGACGTGAGTGTTGTGTTGTGCATTGGCTACTCCTACGCCAACCACACCGACAGGCGAGTACGCGTATGCCAACACTTGTGCAACAGCGTCCAGCATGCGACGCCGTACCCGTCCCAGAAATCTCGGTACACCAACACCAGCACTACGCCGCTACCAGCAGCTGGCAAGTGAAGTTGGACACTTGGCCGAGCAGCACGGTAACGTGACGAAGCAAGTGACCAAGCACACTCGGCAACGGCCTCCTGATGGAGGCACGGAGCGGGCTCGGCCGCTCGGCGACGACGACGGGACACAGCCTGCTGGCGTCAAGGCAGGAGGACCTCGCCTTCACCGGTCACCGCCAAGGGAGGGGGGAGAGAGGAGGGAACCGACGACGAACCGTCATTTATAACGATGCCGTTGGGTAAACCCGTCGCTTCCCCATGTCCATACCCACAAAAGCTGTTTGCCCGCTCCGCACCCTCCCCATACCCAGTGGCATCGTTAATTTCTGTCCGGAAACCCCGCCGACACTCCGCAGCAACGGCTCCCGACACCGCCGGCCCCCCCTGACCTGACTTGCCAGGCTCCGCGCGCACCTACCGCCCCCAACGGCACGCTGCGACTACGACGCGACCCACCCCACGTCCGGCCGTGCGTTTCCAACCCAACCCCCAAGCCGCTCGGGCCCGTGCTCCATCGAGTCTCCGCCTATTTATCCCGCGCGGCACCCTGCTCCTGCCACCTCGCTCTCCGCTCCCACACACTCCAACGGTTGCCACTCGCACAGCACCAGAGCACGCAACGTTCGCAATGGCGGCGCGGGCCACCGTCGTCCTCTGCCTGCTGCTCTGCGCCACTACTTCCCTCGCGCAGTCCCCCGCGTCCGCGCCGGCCAAGGCGCCGCCAACCAAGTCCTCCTCCAAATCCACGCCGGCGCCGGCCGCCACGCCCACCTCGCCGTCCGACGCGTCCGCGTCCACGCCGGCCGCCGCGCCGTCCGCGCCCGCGCCCAAATCCTCCTCCAAGGCGAGTCCAGCGCCGGCCGCCGCGCCAACCACCTCCCCGCGGCGGCGCCGGCCAAACCCAAGGCCAACAAGGCCCCCGCGCCCGCGCCGCCGACCAAGGCCGCCGCCCCTGCCCCGGCCACGCCTGCTCCCGTCGCCACTCCGCCCGCGGCGGCGACGCCTCCCACCGCCTCACCGCCCGCGCCCGTGGTGCCCACCGCGGCGCCGGCGCCGGAGACCAAGCCCGTGGAGGCCCCGGCCCCCGCGCCCGCCAAGAAGAAGAAGCCGTCGTCGTCCTCCAAGGACAAGAAGAAGAAGAAGAAGGGCGCGTCCGCGCCTGCTCCGGCCGCCGAGGCACCAGTTGCTAAGAAGAAGCCCAAGACCGCCGACGCGCCCACGTCCGCGGCCGAGGCACCCGGACCCAGTGGCGATGCCGCCGCTGCCGACACCGCGGTACGCTTGCTCCCCACATTTATTACCGTTCCTCGACCTATAATTACAGTGCGGGCACATCGTTTTATCACTACTCCTACTTAACTAGGCATCATTATTATAAGAAAAGAAGAATCTATCGAGCACTGTTTAGTTCCTAAAATTTTGCGACCTATCGAATCTTTAACAGTGCGGGAAATTTACGAGACTGAGATTAGATATTAATTGCGTACCATTTAAAAAAAATTCACCAACTAAGCAAGTTCTAGCCAGTGCAAGTCCGCCGAACCCAACAAGAACGGGTAAAAGCAAAATGAGTGCGGGGGTCACCGTCGGTGGCCGTTGGTGCGCCGGATAGAGACAGCAGGGGAAGGGGGACCCGTGCCTCGCGCTCTCTGTTGCCAGCAGTTGACATGCCGACACGCACGGCAGCTGCTTCTGGACTGCAGCTACCGTTTCACTGCTTGCTATAGGCCATTTTATGATGATCGACCAAACAGGCACGAGTGTGTTTACTGCGCCACGCTGTTTGGTCGCCCACACACGCACGACGGGGTCGACGGCACGAGCTTCTCGCCTGCTGTGTGTGGCGAAACATATAGATAACGCCCTGAATTGTAGTACTGAGGACTTAACGGCTTGTCCTCTGATCGCGTGCAAAACAAAAACTTCACATGTTTCGACGGAGTAGATTGTTTATCAGTTGTGGCAGAAATGAAAAAAGGTTACTGAGGTGCTAACCCTGTGAAAACGTGTGGTTTTTGCCGTGCAGAGCGCCGCTGGGAGGACACTGGCGGGCGTGATCGCGTCGTCGGCCGTCGCGGTGGCGCTGGGCGCGGCGGCTCTGCTCGCCTAGATCCCGGATGCTTTTGTGACTTTTACCACAGAATGGATGCTGTGCTGCTGCTACCCTTTTTCCTGCTTTCACTTTTTCTTTTCTGTATTTTGTGAAAGGGGCTGGCTGGCTGCCTCTGCCTTTCTTCTGTGTAGTAGTAGGGCCCACATCACATCGATTGATTCACTTGTGCGGATGAATTCTTTTGCTTTTATTAGTCGAGAGATGAAATGAGACTGAGAGTGTGGGTGGTTAGAGAGGAGAGGGGACACTGCCCGTGTAATATATTGTTATTCCTCCATTTCCGCGCACACTTACATCGTTGGTTTCGTGTTGCTGGTACTTTTTTTTTCTTCTCATCCTCATCGTAATAATTCATAATCATCCAGCAGCCGCTGCAGTACTGTACCATATGGACCATTGCAGGCCTGATGGGCCGAATGTTCAGAAGCACCATCTGGCAGCAGCAGGTACTAGATGGGCCATTGCAGGCCTGCTGGGCCGATTGTTCAGACTCGTTGGATTGGATGACGACGGGCCAATGCGAAAAGATGCAGATTTCGACGAAAAAGATCAAACACGGCCTTTGGAAGGGTTCCTTCGCAATTTTCGTGAGCGGCGAAACGTTGAGCATCTCACAGTTGACAGTTCCACGGTGCTAAACCAAAATCAGAGCGCCATTTGGATTTTGGAGGACTCTTACATAGCAGTTGTTCTTCTAACAAAAAAAACATACTAGCTGTAGACTACTCCAACGCTTGAGCAACGTTCAAGGATCGGTGGCCTCGTACGGGGTAAGGTGCTAGTTGTGGATTGGATTCGAGAGCAGTAAGGAGGAGATTAGTTCATTTCCTGCTTAATCTCATTGAATCCTCACCATGGACTCCCATGAGCTCTTTCTCCCTGGTGATCTCCGTCGTCGCCGCTGCCTCCTTCCCGGCCGGCCACCGTACCGGCCGTGGCCTCCGAGGATCACCTTGAACTGGTTGTTGTCAGTTCAAACTGCAAAGTGGCCACAGGAATTGCTCGGCGCAGAAGTTGCAAACTGCAAATGATTCTTTCACGTACATATGAACGAGTTTAAATTTACAGGCTCATGTTTATATTCGACAAAGATACTCTCTTTGTTCCTGAATAAATAGATTTCTAGAGTTGTCTTAAGTTAAACTTTTTAAACTTTGACTGAATTTCTAGAAAAAAAAACGTTAAGATTTATGATATCAAATTAGCATATTTAGATTTAACATAGAAACCATTTTCATATGGTGTTCATTTTTATATCATAAATGTTGTTACTCTTTTTTATATAAAGTTAGTCAAACTTAAAAAAGTTTGATTGACACGGATTCTAGGAATTGATTTATTCAGGGACGGAGTGAGTCCTAGAGAGAACAAACGTGTTTATCACAAGAAGGCATACAAGCGAAACTTTTGATTCCTGGGAAACAGTTGATACCTGACCATGCATGGTAACTGAAAAGTTGTCGCAGCAAGCATTAGGGAAACTAACGAGGAATAGTAAAATCGAAGAAGGCATTCAAGGAACAATCTTGTAGGCCTTCATCTTGTCGATCCATGTGTTGAAGGACTTGACCGTGTCGCGGAAGCCGAAGAACCCGTGCTCTTTGCTCTTGTTCATGCTGTCCAAAAGCTTCCAATTGGCGCCGTGCTGATACACCACGACGTCGATAAGCCACCAATCGGCAACGTCGTGGAGGTTTGTCTCCACGAGCTCGTTCTCCCTGACGATCTCTGCCCACACCGCCTCCTTCCCGGCCATGGCCTCCGACACCTTGAACTGCTTCTCCTCCCCGTCGTACCCGGTCCACTCCAGCCCGAAACGCGCGGCAAGTATCGGCCACAGCGTCTTCCAGTTGTAGAGATCTCCGTTGTTGCAGTTGAACGCCTGGTTCTTGGCCATGGGGTCGACGGCCGCCCAGATGTGCTGCTCGGCGATGAGGTCCGCGTCTGAGGCGTTGCTGAAGCTCTCCCAGGCGCCGAGGCACCCCGGCCAGCGCAGCGCGACCCCCTCCTTGCGGCAGATGGCGGCGTACACGCAGAGGCTGCAGACGACGTTGAAGACGCTCCGTGGGGAGAAGCCGAGGATGAGGTTGGGGCGGTGCACGGACCAGCTGACGGCGCCGCCGCGCCGGGAGACCGCGTCGAAGAGGATGTCCTCTTGGTCGTAGTAGAAGTTCGGGCAGTCCCGGCGCGGCACGTCCTCGGTGTAGGGCGGGTCCGGGGTGGGGATCTTGCCGATGAGCTCGAAGGGTCCCAGGTAGTGCTTGGTGCCCGTCTGGAGGGAGACGTGGGCGAGGGCGGGGCAGTTGGGGACGACGACGGAGAGCACGTTGCGGAGCATGGCAGAGTTGGCCTCCCGGTTCTCCGCCTCGGTAGCGCGCGGGGACCAGGCGACGTAGAAGACGTGGGTGATGTCGGTGAGCGGCGTCAGGGCCTCGGCGACGGCGGCGGAGTCGGTGAGATCGACGTGTATGTGTGCCAGCGAGGAGGATGACGGCAGGGACCAGGGCGGGGGTGGACGGCGGGAGAGCGCGTATACCTTCCATGGCCCGCCGGGGGTGTCCGGCAGCGGGAGGATGTCGACGAGGGAGGTGCCTACTATGCCGGTGGAGCCGACGACGAGGGCGACGCTCTGGAAGGAATGCCGAGGCACGGTGGCGAGCTCATCCTTGCGCTCCCTGACTGCGCCGGCTGACCGTGCCCACCACCAGTTTAAGCTCATTGCTGCCCGCCGGCAACCCTACAGGTTCAATGAAGGGTGAACACGAATTGGTAGTGCAGCGTGCAGAAACATATAGGTACATTTATACCAATTGAATATTCGTTTTCTTTTTCTCAAATATAAAATGGTTTCACCGCCGTAGGCTCAGAGCTCTGGCTGCGTCTTCAGAAGTTCTATGATGGTGAAGCCAATCAACAAGTTCGCGTTTCAAGCAGCCAACAGTGTCACGTGTCACGTGGTTACGTCTTCAGAAACAACGCCGCCGGATCCATGAAAAATTTTAGGAACTGCTGAATAAAAGTGCGACAGTTACATAGTTGTTTTCTATCTTTGACTGTTGCTTAATCATAAGTCTTAGCTCCATCGAACTTTACCTAAAAATCTAGAAATTCTAATATACATATACTGTATACAACTTCTCTTGCCTACCAGGAAATAAATCGACGCGGTGACGCTATCGTTGTTGCGGGCTGCGGCTGACGGCAACTACGTTGTAAGGCAGCTCCAACAATCGTTTTTTAAGCTAGCTTTAACTATTTTTTATATTTTAATAGAAGAAAAGAGAAAAGATAGCTCTTAATAAACAAGAGAATAAGTTAGCTCTAAACATTTTTTATATTTTAAAGTTACGTGAAAATATTACGTGAGGCTACGTTAAAAACTATATGTTATAGTTAGCACTACTCAAAAAAATTGCCATAGAGCTAATAACTGACTCTGGCCATTGGGTGGCCTAGGAGTGGCGTGGGCACGTGTACTTGGTTGTAACAACAGCATATGAACTGATGCGTGCGTGGCATGGACCCACAGGATGGAGCTATGTGCCTTGTGTCAGGCTAGCAGCCAACTGGCCAATGGTTTCGAGTTGGACGCCCCGGGTCACGCCAAAACATGCATACTGCGACAATGCTGCCAACTGTACCAGGCCATTTATCGAAACTAAACACGTTTCTTTTTTTTAGAAATGGAAAAAGGTTGCCTAAATTTTTGTCTAATATATAGCCCCCATGTGATATTTGAAACCTAAATATGAATCGATCAGAACCAACTAAATTTTATTCCAAAAAAAAAAAACAGGTGCAGTCAAAACAAATTTGTTGCAAACCACCATCGGGCCAGCTCGACGATCCTTTTTCCCCGCCCAATGCAGCAACACGATAAAACCACGACTACAGCTTTAATTTGTCGCTGCGCCTAGATATAGATACGTTCAAATCGCAAAAAAAAAAAAGATTACGTTCGTTCATAATGCAGTAGCTGCACATGGTCTTAGCCGACGTGGACATGCTGTGCATATGCTGCACATGGTCTTGGCCGACGTGGACATGCTGTGCATATGCTGCACATGGTCTTAGCCGACGTGGACATGCTGTGCCGACGTGGACATGCTGCATATGCTGCACATGGTCTTAGCCGACGTGGACATGCTGTGCATATGCTGCACATGGTCTTAGCCGACGTGGACATGCTGTGCATATGTCGCTAAAAGCAAAGAGTACCTGCGAGAGTTACAAGCGTGTCTGCATGCGCCGCGCGCACGCGTACCAGCAGACCATTACCCCGTGACGTGACCACACCGACCGATCGACCGGCCCGACCCCGACCCGCCCGTGGACGCCCTCCTCGAGCTCCTCTGGCTCGCGTCGCAGTCTCTCCTCGCCTCCTCCACCTTCGTTGGTGGATTTCTAAGCTGATAAGTTCGACGGTACTGATGTGTTGTGATAGGAAAATATTATTGGCTGGCTGATAAGATGTTGCTAAAACCAATAAACATGCTGTTTAGCTTTTTGCGCGGTCAAAAGCGCGGCCAGGGTTGTGGTGGCCCTGGCCCCTGGGCGCCCGCCGCGAGCGCTGAGAGCCTTTCGGCCTGCTGCTTTCTCCGATAGTGTCCGTGCGCAACGCGAGCGTGTGTGTCCCGGTCCACCAGTTGCCCCGGGCGGGCGGCCCCGGCCCCGAGCACGAGCACGGCGAGCGCGGCGGATCTTATTATAAAATCCTGCAATGCTGGCTTTTTTATGGACAAGGAGAAAGCAGCTGCTTCCTTCTTTTTAATTTCTAACATACGATGTTCGGACAGGATACTAATTAGTTTATTTTGAATTATTTATCTAGTCGCCACTGTTCAGAAATTAACTTCTTTTTTGTTGTAACTTCTGAAGCGATACCGTATCCCCTTGCTTGATTTTTCTCTCACGGCGTGCTGCATGCGCCACCTTTATATTGCC